GTGAAGTTTCAAAGTTTAGGTGCGTAATGAATAACACTTGGTCTTGAAGTGGATGATTTCGGGTCTTTTTCTTCTTGGCCTCTTGAAGTCGATGGTCTTGGTTCTTCTTTTTCTGTATTTCTTGAGGTAGATGGTTTGGGTTCTTCTTCTTCTCCTTGTCCTATTTTATACAATTCTTCAATTAAGTCTTGATATCCTTCCAATTCCTCATAATTTGTAGGATGATCGACTATTTCATGAAGTAGAAGATCTATTTCATCCTCAAACGTGGCTTGACAAATGGCACAGCGTAGCATGGAAGTAGATGGTTTTGGTTCTTCTTCTCCTCGATCTCTTGAAGTAGATGGTGTCGGTTCTTCTTCTTCTCCTTGTCCTATTTTATTCAATTCTTCAATCAAGTCTTGATATCCTTCCAATTCCTCTTCATTTGTAGGATGATCGACTATTTCATGAAGTAGAAGATCTATTTCATCCTCGAATGTGGCTTGACAAATGGCGCAGCGTAGCATGTTGTAGATGTTCTCTATTCAAGAAGCAGCAGCATACTGATGAAAGGTGTGAACATCCACCCCTATTTATACTATTCCCTCCCCTCTCTCCCCTCTCTCCCCTCTACTACTACTATTTTAATTAATAACATCACCCCAATCCCCAATTTTTTTATAATCTAACGTAAATACAGGCTATTCTTCAATTTTCACGTTTGTTATACCTTTATGTACTGGTTGGGGGTGAGGGTTGGGTTTAAACCAACCACCTTACTTTTAGTAGTGGGGGAAATTGATATTTTCATTATTTTAAAATATTGCAGAAATTTCTAAGTTTAAGAAGTGGGTCAAGGTCATTGTAACGTAATAAAAAAAATGTGTGAACAATTCATTTAATTCTGCACCATGTTTTTTTACACAATGATGTATCAGAATTAAACAAATTGCTCACACATTTTTTTTAAGAATTTGGAAAAATTGAATTTACTGTGTTAATCTTTTGTAATGTAAAATGTTAAAAGGAAAAAATTACCGTGCCTTTTTGATCTTGGAAATTGAAGATTTCCAAGACAATCTTCCTTTAGCATCCCGAATAAGGTAGTCAGTTCTTTTCGGATGTTCAGGGTTTACAACATCTCTTGGTAATCTAATAGAAAAATGCTCTCCTGTATCGTTACGTTTTATAATGATGTTATTAAACCATACACATCTGACAAAGAAATATTTCGTACACCTTTTCATTCTTCTTACCCGGATTGCTTTGGGAAGTTCTTTAATTTTATTGGAAGACTCTGTGCTTTTATTGTGTTTTGAATGAATGGAGCACATATCACTATTCAAAACACAAACCTTTTCACAGTGTTCCCCCTTACTAACACCCTTTTTAAAAACATATCGACACTTGGAGAGGGTGTGTGCAAATTTTCTCCTCCTGTCAGCAATTAATTGTTTACACTTATCTGAAGGAGAAGTGTGTAAGTGGCCAAAGGATTTGGAAGTGGCTGGTAGGGAGTCGTTTAGGGGGGATATGATGGGTGGTGGGATAGTGAATTGTAAAGGTGGAGTTGTTAAGGAAGAAATACATGGTGTAGAAGTTGGAGGTGGAGATGCAGTTCTAGTGGCAGTAGGTGTTAGTAGAACATCAGCAACAGTGCAGTCAGAGGATGAGGAAGAGCTTGTAGATGCAGATGAATCAGACGAGGTTGACTCCGAAGTAGATGAACAAGACAAGTTTGTTTGTGAAGATGAAGATGAAGACAATATATCTATCAGCGGAGGAGATTGATCACCACTGGTCCGGAAGGTGTATTGTTCTTCTGCTCCAGGACTTGCACCTTCTGACTGTAGTATTTCTCGAAGAACCAATTTTGGATCTGACGCATGCGATGAAATTAAAATAGATCGAGGAAGAGACTTTGAAGATGAAGAAACTACTTTCGAGGGTCTAGTGGGAATTCTAAGGTAAGCCATGATAGCAAATGAAACAGTGAATAGTAACTGGAGCTGACTCAGCTAGCTAAGACTACTTCAGACCATTGAATGATGATTGCCTGCGAAGCAAACCTCCTTTTATAGCAAAACTCAAGTGGAGGGGGGAAGCTTGTGGGTGGAGGGGGGAAGCTTGTGGTTGGAGGGGAAATGTTGTGTCCGTTGGTGTTAACTTAAAAGAACTGTTCTCGGTTCCCAATAATGTACTATAAGGAAGCTTTCTAAGTCCTGTAAGTAGGTCAAGGTCATTTAAAAATATTGCCAAAAGGAGAGATGGAGCAAAAATTGGCTCCATCTCTCCTTTTGTTGTAATAGGAGAACTTAGTGTTTGTTATGTATTTTAAGGGAAGCTTTCTAAGTCCTGTAAGTAGGTCAAGGTCATTTCAAAATAATGCCAAAAGGAGAGATGGAGCAAAAATAAGCTCCATCTCTCCTTTTGTTGTAGTGGGGGAACTTAGTGTTTGTTTTATTTTCGTGTTTGTGTGTAAGTCTGAATTGGCTAAAGACCAATGTATCAGTCTTTTTGATCAGAGGCAGCGCAGCCAAAGGACTGTCCTCATGGTATTGATCAAAGACTCATTAGCAATAGCCGGAGCAGCGCAGTCAACGAACTGTCCCCTTAAAAAGGTGTGAATGTCATCTATCTCATTTTGTTGTAGTGGGGGAACTTAGTGTTTGTTTTATTTTCATGTTTGTGTGTAAGTCTGAATTGGCTAAAGACCAATGTATCAGTCTTTTTGATCAGAGGCAGCGCAGCCAAAGGACTGTCCTCATGGTATTGATCAAAGACTCATTAGCAATAGCCGGAGCAGCGCAGTCAACGAACTGTCCCCATAAAAATGTGTGTATGTCAAAGAGAACTCTATGTCATGAATTTACTATTGGTTTCATGTTTTTGTTTTGTGTGAACGTTTTCAACTTACTAATGTCACTTAGAACTTTGTAACATACAATGATCAACTCAAATTGAAAATAAAATTACTAATAGGGACTTTATTATTTTGATACCTGAAATAGAACAACACATAATTAAGAAATACAACACCCTTACCAAAGATACAAATACGCAAAACACCCTCTAACTACAAGCCAACAAATACTACAATCAACATGCTTCTAAAATAACTACTAAGTGACAAGAACCTTAGGTTAGAGTGGTACCAACTCTAAACTAAGGGTCTCGTCTTTAGCCAGTTTGCCCATCCGGTCAGCTTCACCGGTTGTGCAAGACTGACAATCATCCGTCTGCTCGCAGCCCTTTTATACGCTCGGGTTGAGTGGTGGGGGTAGAACAACGCTGCACCTGCTTATGTAAATTAACTAGCGATAGTAGGTCCCTAGCTAGAATATATGCCCGGTCGGATTCAAACATATACAAGGCAGATCCATTACTACCGTTTTTATATTTTTTCCAAGATATTTTCAAAGTCCTGTAAGTAGGTCAAGGTCATTTAAAATAATACCAAAAGAAGAGATGGAGCAAACATGCTCTATCTCTCCTTCTGTTGTAGTGAGGAAAGAGTCTGTGTTTAGGTATAACAACAAAAGCTTAAAATTTAATTTAACCAAATGCAGAATAGTATGCAGGCCGTTGGACCTCTCAACTAATTACAAAATGGTCAACTTAAATTTTAAAATATAGAATATTTACAGTCACAAGAAAGTGTTCATTGTTAGCTGACATAAGTTAACTACCAATGACAACGAAAAGTTTAAAATTTAATTTAACCAAATGCAGAATAGTATGCAGGCCGTTGGACCTCTCAACTAATTACAAAGTGGTCAACTTAAATTGTAAATATAGAATATTTACTGTCACAAGAAAGTTTTCATTGTTAGCTGACATAAGTAAACTACCAATGACAACGAAAAGTTTAAAATTTAATTTAACCAAATGCAGAATAGTATGCAGGCCGTTGAACCTCTCAACTAATTACAAAGTGGTCAACTTAAATTTTAAATATAGAATATTTACTGTCACAAGAAAGTTTTCATTGTTAGCTGACATAAGTAAACTACCAATGACAACGAAAAGTTTAAAATTTAATTTAACCAAATGCAGAATAGTATGCAGGCCGTTGGACCTCTCAACTAATTACAAAGTGGTCAACTTAAATTTTAAAGATAGAATATTTATAGTCACAAGAAAGTTTTCATTGTTAGCTGACATAAGTAAACTACCAATGACAACAAAAGTTTAAAACTTAATTTAACCAAATGCAGAATAGTATGCAGGCCGTTGGACCTCTCAACTAATTACAAAATGGTCAACTTAAATTTTAAACATAGAATATTTACAGTCACAAGAAAGTGTTATTGTTAGCTGACATAAGTAAACTACCAATGACAACAAAGATTTAAAATTTAATCTAACCAAATGCAGAATAGTATGCAGGCCGTTGGACCTCTCAACTAATTACAAAATGGTCAACTTAAATTTTAAATATAGAATATTTACAGTCACAAGAAAGGGTTCATTGTTAGCTGACATAAGTAAACTACCAATGACAACGAAAAGTTTAAAATTTAATTTAACCAAATGCAGAATAGTATGCAGGCCATTGGACCTCTCAACTAATTACAAAGTGGTCAACTTAAATTTTAAAGATAGAATATTTATAGTCACAAGAAAGTTTTCATTGTTAGCTGACATAAGTAAACTACCAATGACAACGAAAAGTTTAAAATTTAATTTAACCAAATGCAGAATAGTATGCAGGCCATTGGACCTCTCAACTAATTACAAAATGGTCAACTTAAATTTTAAATATAGAATCTTTACAGTCACAAGAAAGGGTTCATTGTTAGCTGACATAAGTAAACTAGCAATGACAACGAAAAGTTTAAAATTTAATTTAACCAAATGCAGAATAGTATGCAGGCCGTTGGACCTCTCAACTAATTACAAAATGGTCAACTTAAATTTTAAATATAGAATATTTACAGTCACAAGAAAGTGTTATTGTTAGCTGACATAAGTAAACTACCAATGACAACAAAGGTTTAAAATTTAATTTAACCAAATGCAGAATAGTATGCAGGCCGTTGGACCTCTCAACTAATTACAAAATGGTCAACTTAAATTTTAATTATAGAATATTTACAGTCACAAGAAAGTGTTCATTGTTAGCTAACATAGGTAAACTACCAATGACAACAAAAGTTTAAAATTTAATCTAACCAAATGCAGAATAGTATGCAGGCCGTTGGACCTCTCAACTAATTACAAAATGGTCAACTTAAATTTTAAATATAGAATATTTACAGTCACAAGAAAGGGTTCATTGTTAGCTGACATAAGTAAACTACCAATGACAACGAAAAGTTTAAAATTTAATTTAACCAAATGCAGAATAGTATGCAGGCCGTTGGACCTCTCAACTAATTACAAAGTGGTCAACTTAAATTTTAAAGATAGAATATTTATAGTCACAAGAAAGTTTTCATTGTTAGCTGACATAAGTAAACTACCAATGACAACAAAAGTTTAAAACTTAATTTAACCAAATGCAGAATAGTATGCAGGCCGTTGGACCTCTCAACTAATTACAAAATGGTCAACTTAAATTTTAAACATAGAATATTTACAGTCACAAGAAAGTGTTATTGTTAGCTGACATAAGTAAACTACCAATGACAACAAAGATTTAAAATTTAATCTAACCAAATGCAGAATAGTATGCAGGCCGTTGGACCTCTCAACTAATTACAAAATGGTCAACTTAAATTTTAAATATAGAATATTTACAGTCACAAGAAAGGGTTCATTGTTAGCTGACATAAGTAAACTACCAATGACAACGAAAAGTTTAAAATTTAATTTAACCAAATGCAGAATAGTATGCAGGCCATTGGACCTCTCAACTAATTACAAAGTGGTCAACTTAAATTTTAAAGATAGAATATTTATAGTCACAAGAAAGTTTTCATTGTTAGCTGACATAAGTAAACTACCAATGACAACGAAAAGTTTAAAATTTAATTTAACCAAATGCAGAATAGTATGCAGGCCATTGGACCTCTCAACTAATTACAAAATGGTCAACTTAAATTTTAAATATAGAATCTTTACAGTCACAAGAAAGGGTTCATTGTTAGCTGACATAAGTAAACTAGCAATGACAACGAAAAGTTTAAAATTTAATTTAACCAAATGCAGAATAGTATGCAGGCCGTTGGACCTCTCAACTAATTACAAAATGGTCAACTTAAATTTTAAATATAGAATATTTACAGTCACAAGAAAGTGTTATTGTTAGCTGACATAAGTAAACTACCAATGACAACAAAGGTTTAAAATTTAATTTAACCAAATGCAGAATAGTATGCAGGCCGTTGGACCTCTCAACTAATTACAAAATGGTCAACTTAAATTTTAATTATAGAATATTTACAGTCACAAGAAAGTGTTCATTGTTAGCTAACATAGGTAAACTACCAATGACAACAAAAGTTTAAAATTTAATCTAACCAAATGCAGAATAGTATGCAGGCCGTTGGACCTCTCAACTAATTACAAAATGGTCAACTTAAATTTTAAATATAGAATATTTACAGTCACAAGAAAGGGTTCATTGTTAGCTGACATAAGTAAACTACCAATGACAACGAAAAGTTTAAAATTTAATTTAACCAAATGCAGAATAGTATGCAGGCCGTTGGACCTCTCAACTAATTACAAAGTGGTCAACTTAAATTTTAAAGATAGAATATTTATAGTCACAAGAAAGTTTTCATTGTTAGCTGACATAAGTAAACTACCAATGACAACAAAAGTTTAAAACTTAATTTAACCAAATGCAGAATAGTATGCAGGCCGTTGGACCTCTCAACTAATTACAAAATGGTCAACTTAAATTTTAAATATAGAATATTTACAGTCACAAAAGAGTGTTCATTTTAATGGGGGACTTCTTTATCCTTTGTTAGCTGAAATATCACATGATTAGAAAAAATACAACACTCTGCGCAATTCAAGTACCAAAGACACGATGCACTCCATAAAGTAAAACCATCTAAGATACAAGCTAAAAAAAACAACATGCAGCACATGCTATTTGACTAAAACATTAAGTTAGATTGGCCAAATCTAACGAAAGGTTTTAATCAAAAGTCAGTCAGTCTACACTCAACCAGTCAGCTGTGCCAGTTGGGTGAGACTGACTACAGTCCGTTCGCTGCCACTACTTTTATCCGCGAGCCAGTTGGGAGGGGGCCGGTCGGGAGGTTTACCCTGCTTCGCGGGTAAATTTCCCTACTGTCGGGTAATTCTACCTACTAAGTAAGGAAGTCTCCAAACCTCCAACATCACATCATTCAGTGTCGAACCTTCAACGAAGACTGTTCACATATGCTAGCTCTGTTCTGATGTTAACTATGGATAAGCCAAGTACAATCACACAAGATAAACTAAAGAGAATAAAAGAAAATTTAAAGAAATCTACTACTTCTAAAACTAGCAATTTTCGCAAGTCAATGTCACTACGTCTAAAGTTTCAGAAGCAAATTAAATTACCACTACATTGGAATGCATCAGGATCAAATTATTCTAATCAATTATCACCCGAAGCCATATGTCAAGAAATGAAGCTTCCTCAAATAGTAAGTCCAATAGAAACAGAAAAAGTAACATTTAAATATCTGTTACAAAACAAACATTATCAATTAGTAGAACAAAGACAAAACGAAAATGGTAAAACATTTATTTTCTTTTATGACAACAAGTTTTTAGAGGTTTGCTTTCCGACACAATTAAACGTATCAAATCCTCCTGACGTTGAAGATGGAAAGCTAATTTATTTGATTCACACAAGTCAGGACACATGGAATTGGGTATAATTTACGTACAAAAGGTATCAGTCTTTCTAAAGACTCCATTATATAAACATATTTTGACCACAAAGGTTAATCTGTCAAACTATTTAACAAAATATAAACATGGTCTCCAAAACCCGTAATATACTACTACTACTAATTTTTCTAAAAATATATAAACAATATTTAATTTTACGTTATTTTTTTAGGACCTCTAACATAAGATAAGAATTATATTTGGTTTTACATTAGGCCTACCTCATTTGTGGGTACAAGATAAAGCTGCTATATCACATAGTTCCAAAACACACGCGAGCACACGATACAGCTAACGATAGACACAGCACCGTACAGATAGCAACACTCCGCCACTACGTCCAAACGCGAACTGTGTGGATACGATCCAAATCTGGGTACAGCTCCGCGAAGGTTGAGTAACAAGGTCGGGCGTGGCCGCGACCCTGACCAAACTTTCGTCCGTCCAACTAACCCAATTCCGCGGCGAGCAGTGAGTCACCCATGCCGCAACGCGCCGCGCCCCGCTGACCTTACTAGAATACTACACAGTACTGTTGACTATGAATTTAACTAAATCCATGATTTAATTGTATAAACTGTGTTTCGCTCGTTAAACAATTAAAACAGTACCCACATACGTCACAAGTGACGTACGACCAAAACCACCTGCTCTTACGTAATTTCCTCCGAATGCCCTTTAAAATAATTAACTTTGTAACATCTGCTAACATCTGCCCGACAGCTGTTGGCGGTGAACTGTTACTATGACACTACTAGCTGACAATATTCTCGCCGGCATCTTCTCTCTAAATATCATTTTATCAGGTTGACAATCTCGAGGGAAACACGAAACATCTCGAGGAATTCTCCTTCCTTCGCTGAAAGCTACAGTCCTTGCTTCTCGAGGATTTTCACAGTTTTCTTCTCGAGGCTGGAAACTAGACTGTACTTCGTGATGCGGCAAGGATACCTCCTGCTGTACACTCTTCATAATATTTACTGGAACATTAGTACAAGGCTTCAAAACGTTATTTTTATTAATGTCTTCAGCTTGATCCTTTGTCTGCATCCACTTTTCAACAGCTTCCTTTGTGGGCAACGGTCGTGGAAGAGAAGAAATTGAAGTCCTAGATGATCTGCTACTGACTCTTGACGATTCCCTGCTAAGCGATGACAGTCTGTCTTCAAGTAGCTTCTTCTTCATTTCTATTTCCTTCCGCTTGGCTTCTTCCTCCACTCGGGCAAGTCTTTCATCAGCTGCTGCTATTTTTACTGCTGCCTCTGCCTCTGCTTCAGCTGCTGCTATTTTTACTGCTGCCTCTGCCTCTGCTTTCTCCGCCGCCGCCTTTGCTTTAGCACATGATACAATAAGGGACGTTTCTTCTTCCTGTATCTTAATCAATTCGTCCATAACCTCTAAAACACTTTCATTCCTACTCCTACTTGAGCTAGTTTTATGAGATCTTACCGACAAAGGAATATGCTTATCACTTACTGCCTCATTATTTTTACCATCAAAATCCTGAGATTTTATAGCAGACTTCTTGACTTTGGACCTTGTAAATGCTCCAGTAGTCGACATTTAGTTGATTCGCAAAAGTTTCGGCACCAATGTTCAAAATGAATAGTTTAAATTATTTATTATAATAAGGCTTTTTCTGTTTACAGTTTTTTTACATTTTTTTTTAGCATTCTATAAACATTTTTGTGATACCTAAATTTAGGTAGGTAGGCACTTTGATAAAATAGTTTAAGTAGTCTCAATAGGTCTAAATTTAAAATAATAGCTTGGATAATTTGTTTAGGTGTAGTATCCAATATAATGGTACAATAGTAGACTACTATTATGATGTTGAACCAAGAACTCACATTGAAATTCAAAAACTTCTATCTGAATCATACCAAGCTCAAGTTGTCGCAGACCCCTAATTTATATAATTAAAAAGTAAGGATGTGTATGGTATCTTTGTATGTTGAATCAGTTGAAGATTTACAAAAAAGCCTATGTACCCAGTAGTAACACATGCACTTATTTGTTTTATGTTTTATTCAAACAAAATGACACTAAAATTACACATTGTTTGACAACAGTAGATGTATTACTGAGCTTATCCAATCATAGACTATATAAAGCTACAACTCAATACTATTTGTAAAACAATCGTGCAATATATGTTTTCTTCTTCAGATGCCGATTGTGTGAGTGCAGCAGAGATAGAGATTGTGTCTAGGCTGATCTCTGTGTTGACCAGATACAAGAACCGCATGTCTGTGGTGTCTGAGGTGGAGGATGATGATATGCTATGTCCTATATGTTGTGCGTACCCTCTCACAGTTACATTCGTCCCTTGTACTCACCAGTCGTGCAAGTAAGTACTTTACAACTTGTTAGTGTTCTACAACTTGCTTCTGTACAAAGTTGTCTAGCATTGGGTTTGGTTACTTTTAATAAACTGTAGGTGTCCACGTCCAGGAGAGGAAATCAGTATGGTATTACAAACCCGGCATTATGTGCTGGAAGAGTTCAGAGTTTTGGAAATGTTTTCAAAGTAAGAAAAAAAAGGTTAGCCTACAGACACTGGATACAGAAACAAAATTAAGGGAATTTTTGGACAGGAATAAAGCTCAGCTAGCTTATCTGAGAAAATAAACCTTTTGCTTCAGGGGTAGATAGATGCACAATAAAAGACAACACATAACACACTGTTATTACGTCCTGTTGTAGGACTTTTTTAGAGAGTAGGTTGAAGAGAGTTACTTGATCCTAGGTTGAGTTATCTTCAGTCCTACTCCCTGAACAAGCCCTTCGTCAGGACGGAATATCAGTGTTATGTTTTGTATTCTTCTATTGTGTATCTATCAGCCCCCAGACTCTAATTTTCTAAGATAAGCTAGCTGAGCTCTATTCCTTTCTGAAAAATTCCATACTAGCCAATTGTCTTTCCTTTAAAATATGAAAAACTAAATGTAGTTTTTTCCCGCTTTTTTAGCAACATAGCATTGAAATACATCAATTTAAGGTGTTGAAGAAAAGAAAGTGTCCAGAAACACATAAGTAACAAAAATCAAACTCATACAACACCAATTGGCAATAATAGTCTGTTAACAAAATTTTTGCGTTTTAAGGGGAAGGTATATCTGCTAGGTTCTCCCATCACTTTGTTTAGCTTAATGTATACATCAGCTTTTGGCTGTTAGTCCAAAGTTAAAGGAGGAGGGGGATGAAATCGCTACTTCTCAAACCGCCTAAATTTTGTGAAAGGAGTATTGTGTGTCAACCTTGTACACATAGCCTCACCATAGTTAGTTGTTGGTCGTGTAAGGTTTTTTCCATTAAATATTTATATCCTTGTGTTTATTTTTATTTATATGTTTTTGAATACTTTTTTAAAATTTCTTGGAAGCAGCAGTTATGTCAAAAGATTAATAATGACACTTTAAATGTGTTAAAACCGGTCGCCATGCAGACGACCAAAGATAACTTTGTGATCAGGTATAATCTCTTGTCTAATATAACTGTGATTATCCAAAACACAACACCCCCACTGCTAAAAATCTTAATTTATTCTAAAAATACCATTGTCTATGGAGCAATGTCATGTTTGAATGTTACAATTGTAATGGGAAGGGTCAAATATTGTAATGAGGAAGTGTTTGTCAATGTTGTGCGAGTAGCCTGGAAGTCATCTAAGGAATTTTGAATTTGGGGTTTTGTTTTAAACTAAATTACTAACACTGTTACAGCCTGTTCCACCTCATTGTTACTGTTATCTTTGTGTTCTTTGTATGTTTTGTGGGCTAACAATAAAGTTGTGGTTTGTAAACAAATTTAATTCCTGAGCTACGTCACCCAAACCTTCAGTTAGGCTGGAGGTTGCACAATAATGTGAATGTGATCTTTGTCCAGATCGTGTATCACACATCACCTGATGAACAGTAAGGAGTGTTTCTTCTGCAAGACAGCTATCACAAGAGTCACGTCCGTTGACGGGTCTGTCATATTTGAAGCCCCCGCCACATCCGACTCCGCTAGTCTTAGAAGCTAGAACTACCGACACCAACACTATAACCCAATTCTAGTCAATCACTAAGTCAAACAAGCTTAATACGCTTATATTTTTATTTGACTACTTTTCGTTTGTACTAATTTATTTCAAGATATTTCTTCTGTTTTTAATTCAAACACATTTTGGTTTTTGTGTTTTTTTATGATTTTTATTTTTGACTTTTCATGACATTTTACAACATATCGTAATGTTTTAAATGTTTATCACTGAATATATATTTATTTTCGGTAACTGTGTTTTGGAAACCCATCTCCCTGAATGTTAGCTGTAAGTTGTTTGTTGAGTATCATTTAACAAGAGTGTTGCGAATTGTAGCCACTTTAAAAAAAATGATTAAGTCCCTGAAACTATGGAATACTGATACATACATAAAGCTTATCTTCCTGCCATCTTCCTAATGGTCGCTCAATATTTAACAGTCTGAAAAAATATTGTGTTGAAATATTTGATGTATTTTTAAATGCATTTGTCTGGTCTTACAGTTATCCATAACCTAATTGATTTAGTATTTGATTATTGGAAAATCTAATTAAAACCATGAGAAGCTCTTGGTTGTACAATCAGTAATTGAAACGTGAATGTCACAGTTATAAGGTGCTTACAAATTAAATCATTGTAAATAAAACTGTTTATTAACTTTTCTCTACATGTTACTTCTATTGCAACAACATGAAATTACTTTCCTAAAAACTACTTAAGATACAAAAATAAATGAGTACATATTTATTCGAGAAAATTAAATTCATTGTCTCGTAATCAATCGCTTAATAATATGGTAGAATTAATTTTGCTGATGTAACTTTGTGAAAAAATAGAAATCAGGAAGTTATTTCAATCAATTGTCGTATTCTCACACTGCTGTGAAGATTATAATAAATTGAAACAATATTTCACTCATAATTTTTTTTATATAAAATTAAGGTAATTTTTGAGTTTGTTAAAAGGACAGAAATACTATGTTATTTATTGATATAAACATCAACATTTTTCTTGATGGTTCTATAAAATAGTTTAAAAATCCAAAACCTCTAAAATTGTGCATGTTTATTTAAATTACAGCAATCTAAAGAGTCCCATTGGTTTACCTCAGGTTGTCATAAATAAAAAGGAATAAAACAACTTTCTCTTTACTAAAAACTTCTAGAGTGAAATTTTCTAACTAAAAAAATAATGTATAAGAATTATAATTTGTGATAACATTATGGGGGAATGGCCAACTCAAGAATTTAAAAATGTTTCTTTTCAAACCTGTTAAAACATTGCAACTGTGACTTTATAAAAGTGAAAAATAATGTGTGTGCTATGGCAAAAATGTTTTAAAAATTTACTTGGCTATAATATTTTGCTTTTTTAATTGGAAATTTTATTTGAAGAGTCCTCCTCCCCCACTGTGGTATACTAAGCGTAATTATCTAAACTACAACAATCACCGAACCTGAATAAAAAATAAAACATGCCAAATTCCTCCGCCAAGAAAATGTTTTAATTTTTTAATTAACGAAAACATGAAACAAATTCTCCACTCATGATATGTACAATACATAATTCCATGGACTAGGTGTTAAAAATAATATTGATAGTGTGAGATTATTCAGTAGTGCCAACTGTTTAACGTCTACGTCGCCCTAGACCAGTCCACAACAGCGACGGGTCATAGTGGTTGGTACCCCTGAGAGTCGCGGGCTCGGGCGACTCTACGAAGTTGCGGATCTTGTAAGAGGGTCTTTGGTTCCGCATCGCGTGAAGGTAGGCTGCCGTCGCTGAGGGTCTGAAGTATTGGTCCTTCTCTGGAAATAAAACTTGATTTTAGGAAATGTACAATTGTCTGCACAACTGTAACTTAAGGTACATCTATTTGCACAAAGAGTTTAGGTTGAATTACCTTTACCAGCTGTGGCTAGGTCAAATCACATAGGAAATAAGAAATGATTGCAATCATGGTTAAAATAATTTTATAATGAATACAGTACAATAATAACAAAAAATAAAAGTAGCACTACTGTGACAGTAAGCAGACTAAGCCAATTTCCATTTGTAAGACTTTATTTCCACTAAAATATCTCTAATTAAAATGTCAGATTTATTCCCACTTTAAATATAGTTTAAGAGTGCTCAGGTTTGCTGCTACAGAGAAAGTAAGAGTGTTTTTTTGTGAAAGGTTTAAAGTTTGGTATGAAATAAATCAATTTCTCGAATCTGATCAAGATCAAATTATCTCAGCTCGAGTTATCTATATAACTTTAAACAGATGGTGTTTTTGGCCTCTGGGGCTGGGGACCTCAAAACAAAAAAGTAAATTGGTGAGTCCAGGTCTTACCATGAGACATACAGTAATAGTTTTTACCATACACGGGAAGTTCGCTAGTATATCCCTTAATTTAATGTGATATTTGATGGGACATAAAAGCTGCTATAGTTGTAAATAAGGTGTGATTTCAGTTTGGCTTGGTTATAAAGTTACAGGGTTGGAACGGTCAGGGAAAACCTGGAAAACAAAGTCAGGGAATTATGAAAAAATTCTGGAGTTTCTCCTGGAAGACTACCTTTTTACAGATATGCTACGTTTTGCTCTAAACCTAAACAGGGTTATAAGTATGTTTTATCTATGGGTATGACTAAGGGCAAAAAGAACTACAAGCACTGATGCACATTTTTATATTGATATTTTGTTATCAGTACCAGGGAGGAATCGATATTTATATAGTTTGAAACAAGTTTTGTATTTGGGAGTGATTAAATATTAACATTTTTTAAATATTTATCGATTTCGATTGGTTGATATCGACTTACGGTATATACCTGGAAAAAGTATAATATCAGTCTGGAAAACCTGGAAAAGTCAGGGAATTTTATTTACCAAATTTATCACCAACCCTGAGTTAGCATAATCGACAATAATCAGGATTTTACATCTGCTCACTTACATCCCCTAATTTTTTTTAATTTTAAATTTTTTATTGTGGCAACAACTTAAACATGTGAATAGAATGTCTAGTTATATTCATAGTCAAAGCATACCCATGTAAACACGTTTAAAAGTACAGTAGTTAGAATTAACTCAAGTCATAATAAAAACTTGATTATTCTGTTTAGCACATTGCACTGCGTTGAAAAAATTATCAAATAATCACTATTAATACATTATAATGTTGCTAAATTGATATTTCATCGGTACATTAACGAAAATATTATTTATAAAGTCCAAGACTGGATAATATTTACCTAACAACATTGAAATTCCTAATATTGTGAAACTAGTGGTTTTAACATAATTGTTTGTCAACAACTTTCTTTTCTGATAAATTTATTTTTTTATGCGTGATGTATAAACAGGAAGAATATCAGAAAATAAACAAAAGACAGAAAATAATATTTTAGCCACAGAAGGAGCTTGAAACGCCTTCAGTATTCAGACGCAATGTAGGTGCTGTACTCCAATTGCCTGTTTGCTCCGCGGCAGGCGCTACCAGCGACCACAGAATTAAAATTTAATTTAAAATTTTAATTCTGTGGTCGCTGGGCGCTACCGTACACTTACTTTCCTGTAAATATTTCAAACCCGTAGCAAATGTTTTATTTCTAAACAGATTTGTCGCCCTTATGAATCAGCTGAATACAGTCAATGATACAATTTAAAGGTATATGTATAGTAGGGGCCTAAAAGAGATACTCGTCAAGAACATTTAAATAAATACGCATGTAAGACGACAAAACATTCAACAATTAGTAACATGTAGTGAGTTTGACTACACTCTATTGAGCTGTGGACGTAAAGGTATGATACTTATATAATACAGTTCAGAGGCTACACAATGAATTTTAATTCAACATTTATATTGTTGAACAATAAAAACAGCTGATTTCAGTAATAAAAATAAATTGTAAACAAACACTAGCGCGTTGTGGGATGATGGAGATGGGATTGAGATCAACATAGAGCAAGGGATAATCAGCTGTTCGTTTTCACTTGCTCTAAATTAGAGCTTGCGAAACAAATACTTTCTTTGATATTAGATGTTATCGAAAATGGGTATTTTCTGTTCAGAGTGATGGAATACTTATTTGTGTAACTAGTGGGCAAAGGCAGTTTGTACTCGTGTTACACATTATATTTTGTCTACAGTTACTATAAAGCATATAACAATTAGTCTTTCAAACACCATGCAACACGTTTTTAGGTTAGGTTAAATCCAAACATTGAACGAAATGGGAAACGCTGGACCAAATGATATCTTAAATTGTTGCCAACCTATTGCCAAGCGTGCACGAATTACGTGCATAATAAAAGCACGCTGTTTTGTGTTGTTTGGTTTGGATGGAATACTGGTGTGCGACAATGAAGTGTGTGGCAAAGTAACTAAATGCAGCAATTTAGGAGCTTTCTGTACTATAATAAATGCAAGGAAGCCCACTAGCCCCACTTTCATACAGCTAGATATGGAACTAGCGTTCCAATAAGTTTTGTATGAGAAACGCTCAACACTCGATAATAAATTATATATAGCGACACACTAGATCTTCTTATACTCTCCATAAATTAAACTCCAGCCTTTTAAACATTGTTACCAACCACCTTGCGGCTATCCTGCTGTTAATTGTTAGGTCAAACTGCGTAGTTACAGGTAATTGCATTAAAAGGTCGTGTCTGATGTATCTCCTTAATGAAAGTGTCAGTTCTTGTATCGCCGAGTAGATAATACACTTGCGTGGTTGGACGATTAATTCCCGCCAATTCGCAAGGGAAGCAGACGGAGTTCTGGGAAGTCGTCGATAAGTCTGAGCTGCGAAATTATCTGCATGCTAGTAGACGCGGACGTTGACTGGAGTTTGACAAGTTGTGTGAGTCATCGTATTTTACCGTGATTCGTGACCTTGTGGGTTTTGTATTTTCGTGGTCTTTGAATTTTTCAAGCTTTTAATTTCCCCTCCTATTTATACTAGCCTATATGGACAAAGCATTGTTTCCTCAAAGTTTTCGAGTTTGAATTTTGGGTGGAAATATCAATTTTTGGTCTCACTGACCCAAATTTGTTTTCAAAGTGCAATTAAATTTGAGCTTTCTTTTGAAATTTGATAAAATAACGGGAAAATCTGATATTTACAAAAAGGGCTCGCAGGTTAATTGGAGAAATTATGTGTTAGATTGCTGATTATGTTTATTTGTGAGGGAACGGTTCAAACCCTCAATATTTTGAGTTGCA